TTCGAATCCAATATACTAATACAGAATTTTATTTTAAAAAAATAGGGGTTTTGAAATCTTTATGATTCTAAAACGAGAAACGATTATATTTTCTTTAAAATAATTCTTTGTATTACACAATATTTATTTATTTTGTAAACATAAAATAACTTTTTAACATCTAATATATATAATCTCCATAATCACGTGATGATCGTTTTCGTATCTCCGTAATGTATTTAAAATTTAAGGAGACTGTATAGTGTAATGTTAATTTATCTAATATATATATAATCTCCATAATCACGTGATGATCGTTTTCGTATCTCCGTAATGTATTTAAAATTTAAGGAGACTATATAGTGTAATGTTAATTTAATCTCCATAATCACGTGATGATCGTTTTCGTATCTCCGTAATGTATTTAAAATTTAAGGAGACTATATAGTGTAATGTTAATTTAATCTCCATAATCACGTGATGATCGTTTTCGTATCTCCTTAATGTAGTGTTGTTAATTAGTTGATTTCTTCCGACTAAGACTAATAGTCGTAGTCGAGGAAATCGACTAAAAACTTTAGCGACTAAATTAGTCGATTAGTCGACTAAAAACGACTAATTAGTCGACTAAAACGACTAATTAGTCGACTAAAAATGACTAATTTAGTCGACTAAAAACGACTAATTTAGTCGACTAATCAGAGAAGATAAACAAAAAGAAGTAAAGTGAGAATTTGTCATTAAAATAACTATATGAGTTATATATAAGTTATTTTTAATATTTTTTGAATTTATTTATTTTTGAAGGAACAGGTTAAAATTATAAATTGTTATTTTTGAACTTTTTTAAAATTATTTTAAAGCAAGGTATAAATATATATTGTAAACATGTTGAATCAAAATTTCAGTGAAGATGTACCATAGAAAAGTGACAATTGTCATAATCGTCATTTTTAAGTTTTTTTTGAAGCATATGGGTAAAAATATATATTGTAAACATGTTATATTTAAATTTCAGTGAAGATGTACCATAGAAAAGTGACAATTGTCATAATCGTCATTTATAGGTTTTTTTGAAATTTTTTGAAGCAAATGGGTAAAAATATATATTGTAAACATGTTAAAATAAAATTTAAGCGAAGATGTACCATAGAAAAGTGACAATTGTCATAATCGTCATTTTTAAGTTTTTTTGAAATTTTTTGAAGCAAATAGGTAAAAATATATATTGTAAACATGTTAAAATAAAATTTAAGCGAAGATGTACCATAGAAAAGTGACAATTGTCATAAACGTCATTTATAGGTTTTTTTTGAAATTTTTTGAAGTAAATGGGTAAAAATATATTGTAAAAATGTTATATTTAAATTTCAGTGAAGATGTACCATAGAAAAGTGACAATTGTCATAATCGTCATTTTTAAGTTTTTTTGAAATTTTTTGAAGCAAATGGGTAAAAATATATATTGTAAACATGTTTTATTTAAATTTCAGTGAAAATATATATTGTAAAGATGTTAAAATAAAACTTCAGTGAAAATGTATCATAGAAAAGTGACAATTGTCATAATCGTCATTTATAGGTTTTTTTGAAATTTTTTGAAGCAAATGGGTAAAAATATATGGTGATAAATTTTAAATAACTAATAAAAGTTTAAATTTTTAAATCGGTCAGCACTTTTAAAATTAGATGGAAGGGCGTAGGCTAAAAAAACCCAGCTTGTTTCAGCAATTATTTTAAAGATCTTAAAATTAACGATTATATTAATTGTCATATGTCACATCCTCATTTAAATTTTAAATTAACATGTTTACAATTTATTTTACTCTGTTACTTCAAAAAAGTTAAAAAAATAATGATTATGAGAATTGTCACTTATCTATGGTATATCTTCACTGAAATTTTAATATAACATGTTTACAATATATATTTTTACCCATTTGCTTCAAAAAATTTCAAAAAAACCTAAAAATGACGATTAAGACAATTGTCACTTATCTATGGTACCATCTTCACTGAAATTTTAATATAACATGTTTACAATATATATTTTTACCCATTCGCTTCAAAAAATTTCAAAAAAACATATAAATGACGATTATGACAATTGTCACTTTTCTATGGTACATCTTCACTGAAATTTTAATATAACATGTTTACAATGTATATATTTTTACCCATTCGTTTCAAAAAATTTCAAAAAAACATATAAATGACGATTATGACAATTGTCACTTTTCTATGGTACATTTTCACTGAAATTTTAATATCATGTTTACAATATATATTTTTACCCATATGCTTCAAAAAATTCCAAAAAAACCTATAAATGACAATTATGACAATTGTCACTTTTCTATGGTACATCTTCACTGAAATTTTAATATAACATGTTTACAATATATATTTATACCTTGCTTTAAAATAATTTTAAAAAAGTTTAAAAATAACAATTTAAAATTTTAACCTGTTCCTTCAAAGAAAAAGAAATCCAAAAAAAAATATATTAATAACTCATATAGTTATTTTTATGACAAATTCTCACTTTACTTCTTTTTGTTTATCTTCTCTGTTTAGTCGACTAAATTAGTCGTTTTAGTCGACTAAATTAGTCGTCGCTAAAGTTTTTAGTCGAATTGTTCGACTAAAACTATTAGTTAGTCCTCTGTTAATCGACTAAATTTAGTCGATTAACAACACTACCTTAATGTATTTAAAATTTAAGGAGACTATATAGTGTAATGTTAATTTTTGCAAACGTTCTTTCAATGCAGCTCCCCTCAACTTTTTATTTTACGATAATAATAAATATATATTTTTTAAATTTTTTTTTGCCATCCCCGGGATTCGAACTTGCGACTTCACGACTGGAAGGCAAACGTTCTTTCAATGCAGCCGCATTCAACTTTTTATTTTACGATAATAATAAATATATATTTAATTTAAATTAACAATCAGTTTTTATTTTTTAAATTTTGCCGTTAATTTTCATTTATTATTGGATAAGAAAATTTTCAAATTATGGTAAGTAATAATTTACTGTCCAATTATTTTATTGTAATCTACTTACTAATATAGTTTGTAAAGCAAAGCAATATTGGAATTATAAGAAAATATTCAAATTGTGGTAAACATAATTATTTTATTGTAATCTACTTACTAATATAGTTTGTAAAGCAAAGACATTTATTACAGAGACCTGTAGGTAAAATTTTGCACATATATTGGAATTGTGGTAAACATAATTATTTTATTGTAATCTACTTACTAATATAGTTTGTAAAGCAAAGACATTTATTACAGAGGCCTGTAGGTAAAATTTTGCACATATATTGGAATTATAAGAAAATATTCAAATTGTGGTAAACATAATTATTTTATTGTAATCTACTTACTAATATAGTTTGTAAAGCAAAGACATTTATTACAGAGGCCTGTAGGTAAAATTTTGCACATATATTGGAATTATAAGAAAATATTCAAATTGTGGTAAACATTTTGCTGTTTTCAGGTTTATATATTAGCTGATATTTTTAAAGTTTAGTCTATATTTTTTATTTTTTGGGCATTTATTGTTAATAATTTTGAAAATTATTTTTAAAATTAGGGCATTTATTGATAATTATTTTTAAAATTTTGCCATTTATTTTATCCTATTATTTTGATTTTACAATGTTATTTATATATATTTTTTTAAGTGAGTTATATTATTTTATATAGATAATAATAACAATGGAGAATATAAATTCTCATATACCTCCAATTAAATCTCACACGAAAAGGATCAAAAATAATATAAATACATCTATAATTATATCCAAACAAACTCCAACTAATCTCATTTCAAAAAAGGTATTTTATTTTTTAGACAGTTAATACCTATTCTATAATACTATAATATTATAGGATAAATCTGATATGATTCTCGCTTGCTCTAGAAGATTTAAATTTCAAAACATTTTACCTAGCATTTTCCCTAAGATTAATCCATTAGTGGAGCAACATACCTGTGGCCTTATGAATATATTATGCCAATTTTGTCAATCTTTAAATTTTTTAGCTGAAAGACCTTCAGATGGTAGATTTACCCATTGTTGTCATAAAAGTAAAGTCAAAATTACTCAATCGCCATATATTGATTATTTAAAAAATCTCATATCTAACTCCTTAGATCCCTTGCACAAAAATTCCATGCATCATATTAGATCTTATAATAGTGCGATCGCCTTCGCCAGTATGAGAGCACAAATTTCAGAATTATCAGGTAATGGACCTTATTGTTTTAAAGTTCATGGGCAAATTTATCATCGCATTTATATCCCCAGACTGATATTCTACCTAAATTTGCTCAGTTATATGTGTTGGATACATCTCAGGCCATTGCAGGACGTCTTCAGCACCCTGCCAATTCTGATTGTGATATAAATATCATGAGACATTTAGATGAGCTTATACGCCAAATTAATCCCTATGCTTTAAGTTTCAAAACCTTATGGGAAGTTGAGAAAGCTGAGTTATCCCTTGCAGAACATTCAAATATATTACTGCCAAAGATTAATATGATATTTCGCGGAGATCGTTCTAGCGACCGTAGGCGGTATAATTTTCCTACAATTGATGACGTAGCAATGATTTTTACAAATGATGATGGGGAACCTCCCTTTAAGAGAGATATAAAAGTGTATCCTAGATCCAATGGGAATAATTTAGTAATTCATAACGTATTAAGCCCTAATTTAGACCCAATGGTTTACCCTGTACTATTTCCTCATGGAGATCCAGGTTGGAAGCCTACTATGATTGCTGAAGGCTTTGAAAATTCTGGGCGTTCAAAAATATCCATGCTACAATTTAAAATTGCCCGTTAAGCGGTTAGACTAAATATTTTTAACCCCCTTCTTAATGCCGGAAGGCTAACTCAACAATATATTGTAGATTCCTATCTACAAGTTGAAGCTAATAATCTTAATTTCATAAAGTTTAATCAGTCTAAATTACGCGTTGAGGAATATTCAGGACTAATGGATTATTTAGCCTCCGATTTTTCCAATAATATTAATATACCTATAGGACGGGCAGTTATTCTACCATCTTCTTTTCAAGGTTCTCCTAGAAACATGCAAGAGCGTTATCACGACGCAATGTCTATCGTCTTAAAATATGGCAAACCCGATCTTTTTATAACTTTTACTTGCAACCCAACATGGCCCGAAATATCTGAAAATCTTTTTAACGGTCAAACGCCTGCCGATAGACCTGATATAGTTTCTAGAGTTTTTAAAATTAAATTAGCTGCTTTTTTATCTGATATCACTAAAAATAACATGTTCGGGAAAACATTGGCATATGTTTATACGATTGAATTTCAAAAAAGAGGATTACCTCATGCCCATTTGTTGTTCATTATAAGTTCAGAGCATAAAATTGATACCGCTGAGGCTATAGATAAATTTGTATGTGCCGAGATACCAGATAGGACTAACAATTCACAATTATTTAACATTGTTACGCGTTTTATGATTCATGGCCCCTGTGGCATTCTTAATCCTCGATCACCTTGCATGGATAATGGCGTATGTACTAAAAATTTTCCTAAAGATTTTATAAATGATACAATAACAAATACTAATGAGTATCCTCTATATAAAAGAAGGGATGTAGGTTCTATATTAATATCCGGTAAACCTGTTGATAATCGTTTTGTTATTCCATACAATACCTACTTACTGTTAAAATACAATGCTCATATCAATGTTGAAATATGCACTTCTGTTAAATCAGTAAAATATATTTTAAAATACGTATATAAAGGTTATGATTGTGCAAATATCGATTTAAATTTAGAATCTCTCCCCCCTAAATATGATGAAATTAAAAGTCATTTAAAGACTCGGTATGTTAGCTCATGTGAAGCGATGTGGCGGTTATTAGAGTATCCCATGCATGATCGTTCACATGCCATTATTCGATTAGCTCTCCATATGCCTTTTAAACAATCTGTCTATTTTCAACAAGGCGATGAAAGGGAGGCTTTCAAAAGAGCTAATTTACATAAAACTACACTTACTGCTTGGTTTCTCTTAGATCAATTTAATCCTTGCGCCAGACAATATCTATACATTGATATTCCTTATCACTATGTTTTTGTCAATTATATCTGGCAAGAAAGAAAACGTGGCCATCAATCTATCATCTCTAGAATGTTTTCTACCGATATTAAATGTGGAGAACGGTTTTACCTACGCCTACTTCTTCTTCATGTTCCTGGAGCAAAAAGCTTCGATTTTTTGAGAACTGTTGATGACATTTTGCTAGATACCTTTAAGGAGGCTGCTATCAAAAGGCATTTATTTTCTGATGATAAAGAGTGGGAGCATTGTCTTGAGGAGACATCCTTATTTCAAATGCCTTTTCAATTTAGGCATACTTTTGCTTTTATATGCGTTTTCGGTCAACCTCGAAATCCTGCATTTCTTTGGGATAAATTCAAATCTTACCTAATTGAGGATTTCTTGCGCACTAATTCTGAGTCACTTGCCATTAATTTAGCTTTACACGATATTTCTAATACCCTTAATGCTCACGGGCTACATTGCAACAATTTTAATCTCCCTATCCCTGAGCCTATTCTTCAACCAAAATTATATGATTCAGTAACGGAGACAGCTAAGGCTTTGGTAATGTTATCCAGTTTAAATCCTTTACAAAAATATGCTTTTGAGCTAATTATCCATGCAATAGAAGATATTTCATGTACCATTAGATATTTTTATCTTGATGGTCCAGGAGGATCAGGAAAAACTTATCTTTACAATACTTTAATACATTATCTTAGAGGGCAAAATAAAATTGTATTACCATTTGCTACTACAGGAATTTCATCCATACTACTAATTGGTGGAAAAACAATTCATAGTGGTTTTAAACTTCCTATACCTATTTTAGACACATCGGTTTCACGTATGAGACCTTTATCTACACAAGCTAAGGAACTTAAACTTGCCCATTTAATAATTATAGATGAATCAAGTATGATGACAAAACATGCTTTACGCTGTATAGATGCCTTACTTAGGGAAATTATGCAAATAAATACCCCCTTCGGTGGCAAAGTTATTTTATTAGGAGGAGATTTTAGGCAAACTTTACCAATTATACCTAGGGCTTCTAAAACACATATTATCGAATCATGTATTAAATCTTCAAATTTATGGCATGTTTTCCACCAAATTCAATTGACCCATAATATGCGCTCTCTTTCTGAGGAGGAAAGTTATATTAAATGGCTTCTACAAATAGGTGAAGGGAAAACACCTCTATTACCTTCCCCCCTTCCTTCCGACTATATAGAAATTCCCCTATCTATGCTTGGAGATTCTCTAATATCATCCATATATGGTGATTCCCTTTTACTTAATAATATTGATTATTTATCTAGCCGCATAATTCTAACTACAAAAAACGATATTGCATTAACATTAAATAACACTATCATATCAAAACTTCCATCCTCTTTAAGACTTTACTATAGTTCTGATTCATTGGTTTCCGATCACACAGATGAATCTCTCAACTATCCACCTGAATTTCTACATTCCCTAACACCTTTTGGAATGCCACCTCACATACTATCCTTAAAAGTTGGTACAATTATTATTCTTTTTCGCAATATGAATCCCACAAAAGGTTTATGTAATGGCACCCGGTTAATAATCAAAAGTATACATAATTATTTTTTGGACGCCGAAATAATTACAGGCACCAATAAAGGTTACAGGGTCTTTATTCCTCGCATTGATTTAACTCCGAGTGAATCACAATTACCTTTTATTTTAAAACGTCGCCAATTTCCAATTCTTCCTGCATTTGTTATCACAATAAATAAAAGCCAGGGCCAAACCTTTGATCATGTAGGATTATATCTTCATGAACCCGTATTTTCACACGGACAACTTTACGTTGCCTTAAGTCGTTGCACTTCTAAAAAAAATATAAAAATTATGATTGTTCCCACGCTTTTGCAAGGACATATGCTTTCAAATGAAAAAATATATACTAAAAATATTGTGTATACCTGTATTTTATAATACCATCCATATTACATACCTTCAGGTATAAGTAAACATACACATAAAGGATATTTTATAAAAAGAATTCAAATAACGTTTGAAGATATTCCAAACTTTTATTACTTTTGTCATGGATCTAGGTATATTTTAAAATTGTTTTTCTTTTTATTATATTTTAGACATGCTCTTAATGAAAAAATATATATATAAATATTGTATATACCTCTATTATATAATACCATCCATATTACCTACCTTCAGGTATAAGTATATATATATACTGTATATCTATATCTTATTTCCATTAAGGATATTTAAAAGTAACATTTTTTCAAAAAAAACTCGAATATATTCCAAACATTTATTCCTTTTGCCATGGATCTAAAAGAGGTTATTGTTTTTATATTCCTATTATATTTTAGATTTAAACGAATCAGTGTGTTAAATAAGTCTCTCATAGTCATAGCAAAAATAGTCAATATGTGCTTGGTCTATCATTTCATCATCCTCAACATGGAATAGGAAAAAGAACCCCCAAATAATCTTATTTTACAATGGTACTATTTAACTTTTATATATATGGATTTTGACATTCGATTGATTTGGGTTAAGGATTTATTGCGATGATATACCAGACTGATGCTTATTCTACATCCTCAGTTTTGGAAATATCTAATACTTACATTTTGGTAAAATTAATAATATTTTAATTTAACTTTTATAAATACAAATTTTGACATTCAAGGAAGAAAAATTCAAGACATTTTAATTTGGGCTAAGGATTTATTGCGATGATATACCAGACTGATGCCTATTCTACATCCTCAGTTATGGAAATTTCTAATACTTAAATTTTGGTAAAATTATTGATATTGTATATTTTTTATTATTTTCTTTTTTATATGGCTTCAAATGCGAGTGTGTTGAATGATAACTATCAAGTCTTAAGGTATCACATGTATTATACAATTTTTTTTCCACATCTTTGTCTCTTTGATATTTCTACCTTCTTTTTTTCATTCTTTTTTTCATCTCTTTGCTCCCCTAAAACCCATCTCCCACCTTCACGCGGTGGGGAGTGAACAGCAATGCTGACCAACGGGAGCTCTGGTACTCTTAGTTATTATATTCTTCATTTTGCCAATCAATTTATAATTTTCTACCTTTGATATATGAATCAGAAATATGATTCACAAATTTATTTACCTCTTTTTCTCCGAAATTTTAATATTTTTATAAAATAGACTATACACAAACTAGCTAATTACCCCTCAACCCCGTCATTCTTGACGGGTTATTAGCTAGTAATACAATAAATAAGATACAATATATATAAATAAAATATTTTATATATTATATCTCTAAATCCCTCCTTCCTCCGTCTCTCTCTCCCATTATTGTTATTATTCATATTCTTAAGCTTATTTTTTTTAAAATATTATATTTCTTATTGTTATTTATTACTTTGATTTTGCGCCTAGCTGGCACCACTAATTTTTTGTATATTTTTTTTTACAATTACTAAAATAAATAACTCACATTTTAAACTTTTTATTAATTATATTTTTTTATAATAAAATATTAATATAATATAAAAAAAATGACTTAATGCATCGGCATTTATATTATAAAAATTTTTAAAAATAATTTTTTTTTAAAAAAATTCCCCACAATTTCGTAAATTTCCCCCTTTTTATTTTTGGTAAATTTTTTAAAAATAATTTATTTTTTGATATATGATCTTTCTGGAAGGGGGAAAAATTAATCATTATTTTTTTTAAAAAAATGATTTTTAAGAATTTTATTTAAAATTGTTAAGAAAATATTTGAAATGTCAAGGTATGGAAAAATTTATTTTAAAAAAAAACAAATCAATCTTAAAATTTACCCGCCAAAAAAATGAAATAGGTTTACCGTCAACTCATCCAAAAATTTTATATAGACTTATCCTAGCCCACAATAGGAGTATCCAGGATTTTTCAAAATTCAAAGTTAGCGGTGGGTTGTAGGGTAATAATTATATAGCAGCTTAAGTCAATTTTTAGCAGGCTAAAAAAATCGGCTAAACCTAGTTTTTAGCCTAAAGCTATCACTTTGACCTTGGGATTTTTTCTTTGAAATATAGCGGCTCAGATTTGAAAGAAACAAATATAAATTATAACGCCTTAATGTTAACGGACTTTCTCCGGCAGGCGCTTATAGATTGAGCGGACATTTAGTCATTACCCAACTATAGTTGTGGGTGGGAGGCTTACCCGCTCATAACCCTCTAAACACGTGACAAAACGTGCATTAATTATATAGCATATTTTTGTATACTTCACCACAAATTCGCGTTTACTGTGAATTCAGGATAATCCTTGGCTAACTGCTAGTGCTGGCTAGTTTCAGAAAAATGGGATCCCTAAAAACAGTTTCTGACGGAACTCACTACCTACCAGATGTCAATTAAATAACAACTTTTTTGTATATCTTTTTTATTAATTATTTATCAAACTGCAAAATATTTTCATTGGGTTGTGTCCTAAATTAACAAAAATTAAATTCACAAACTTTCGAAACTTTAATGAAAATATATAAATAAGATAAGTCTATATTTTTAAACATAAAAATAAAAACATTTACAAAACATACTAGACATTCTAAATTTTAATATTTAAATATATACAATTTTAAAATTTTTCGAATTTTTTTTAAAAATTTTGGATTATAGCCTTTAAAACGAGTTTTATTTTGTAGTCACAAACTTTAAATAACAATATCCCATTAATTCACGTATGTGAACCATCTTTTAAAACCAGCGAACACTGCTACAACTTATTAACCAAATATTTTTTTTAGTGAATGTATGGAAAAAATTAATAAATTTTTTTTAAACTTTCCCTTTTTCTTAACATTTAAAAAAAAATGATTAAATGGTGTCTTTTTTATCCAAGAGTCTTTATGTTTGGTGCCTTTCTGCCCGGATGAATCTCCGGTTTTATTTTTGTCCAATGAATTTTAGGGTACTTTTGTCCGAGGTACTCTGTCCGGATCTTCATGTCCAGGACACTTCTGACTCGATTACCAAAAGAAAAGGAGGAACTGCTCTATAGGGGATGTTAAATTTATATTTAAAAAAAAGGTTTAGTAGGAGAATTTCTCTATTTAACTCCCTGTCTAGGCCTATGTGTCTATAACCTTTACCTCTCCTTAATAAAATTACTTCAGTTTGAACCGTGATATAAAGAGGAATCTTATTTTAAAAAGCGTTTTACGCGCGTTTCGTTTTATTTCTTTTTAATTTTATTGTTATTTATTAATTTTCAATGTTGTTTTATTGACCTTATGAAATATGTCTAACATAGGGTATCAATCGATAGCTAATCAAAAGATCTATTCAACTAAAGGTCAATCTTTCCCCCGTAATGGGCGAGTCTAGGTCTGGGGATCAGGAATATTTTTATAAACAAATTATAGATGGTATCAAATAAAAGCTAATTTAAATATCTTTTGACTCTAAGCATTCATTATTTGTCTTGATGAGTATGACTTGGTCTGGGGGGTGGGTGAAAAGGGGGGGGGGTAATAAGTTTTTTTGATATGGGTATCAAATAAAAGGTAATTAAAATGTTTTTATTATAATAATAATAATCACTTTAAGTGGGTGGGTCTAAGTCTTGGGGGGTCAGGAATATTTTTAAAAACATAAAAATCGATATGGATATCAAATAAAAGCTAATTTAAATATCTTTTGACTGAAAACATTCATTCTTGGTCTTGATTTGTATGACTTCGTCTAACATTCAATTTATATATTATAGAAATTTAAGAAAAATTCTGACGTCCTAAGCCCTAGACCCGACCATTTACTGTTATTTAGTATTATAGTCTTAAGAGGTTTCATTTATATTATATTTGATTTTTTAATATCAAATTATTATTTTTTAACCCTCCCTACTCCGGACCTAATCCAACCCATTAAGAGACCAAGAGTGAATACTAATATTTTAGTAGAAAAATATTTTAATTAGCTTCTATTTAATAGTCCTATTTTTAAGTTGATAAAAATATTCCTGATCCCCCAAGACCTAGACGAGTCCGCTTAAAGTGATTATTATTATATTACAATAAAAAAATATTTTAATTACCTTTTATTTGATAACCATATCAAATAAATTTTTTTTAACACCCCCCTGCCCCCTTTCATCCATTTTCCAGACCAAATCATACCCATCAAGACCAAGAATAAATGCTTTCAGCCAAAATAAATTTAAATTAGCTTTTATTTGATACCCATATCGATATTTTATGTTGATAAAAATATTCCTGACCCCTCAAAACCTATACCCGCCCCCTTTAAGTGATTATATACATAAATATAATGACTAAAATTTATATATCACTACTATTCTTTGTATGATATTTTAAACTAAAAACACTATTCTGTGTTTACTCTGTTTCAAATAATTAATTCACGAAAATTAATGTAAAATTCGTTTTAAATTTCAGCAATTTAACTAATAATTTCACACTACTGGTATAAATGTTTAATAAACTAATTTTTATCCCAAAAAATTTGTCTAAATTTATTTATATTAACGCTTTATTCGCTTTAATTATATTTGTACCCAGCGGTTTATTCGTTCTAAAAAAATTTGCAATAGCGTTTTATTCGATCTGATAATATTTGCAAATATCAAGCGACTTACTCGCTTTATATTTTTTTTTAATAACGCTTTACTCGCTTTAAAAATATTTGCGAATCTCCCGCGTTTTATTCGCTTCAATTTTTTTTGTAACAAGGCTTTACTGGTTTTAAAATCTTTACAAATCTCCAGCGTTTTATTCGCTTCAATTTTATTTGTACTAGTTTTTTTCGCTTTACTAATTCTTGTAAATCTGACAGCGGTTACTCGCTTCAACTTTATTTGCACTAGCGCTTTTTTCGCTTTACTAATTTTTGTAAATTTCACAGCGGTTATTCACTTCAATTTTATTTGTACTAGTGCTTTTTTCGCTTTACTAATTTTTGTAAATTTAACAGCGATTATTCACTTCTTTGTATAACGCTTTCTTTTGCTTTAACAATATTTAGAAATTTCCCAACGATTTATCGTTTAAATTTTATCTAGCGCTTTTTTCGCTTTGACAATACTTAGAAATTTATCAACGATTTATCGTTTCAACTTATTTGTACTAGCGCTTTTTTCGCTTTATCAATATATGTAAATCTCCCCGCGATTAACCTCTAGGTTCTGGTGTTCAATCAATATGGCACCAATTTCCTAATACTATATATTATTTTCCTTTTTAATTTATTTATCTATTTGCTCTTCAAATATAACAATTTTTTAAAAAGAAGAAAAAAAAATAATAATGTGTTATAATTTCTTCTTTTTCAGGGTTTTTATAACCCCCATAAATAATAAAAAAAATAATATTGATAAAAAACAAATAATATCGATTAAAAGAAATAATATCGACAAAATTATAATATTGATAAAAAACAAATATCGATTAAAAAAATATTGGTAATAATAAAGAAAAACAATACACATAAATTTAAAGTATGCATGCCTCTCACAGTAATGAGTAACGGTAACGTGTTTCTTTTTCTGACTATAAGTAACGCAAAATATTACTCGTTGCTTCAAATTTTTCTTAGAAAAATATGGAAAAAACATATTTTACTGAATTATAAAAAAAATTTTATTTATTTTTTTAATTTTATAAATAATTTAAGCCGAGTTTTTAATTCACATGAACCACCAAATTAATATATTTTTATTTTAAATCTTCGTTGTTAAATTTTCAGTTAAGATTATTAATTAATTAATATTGAATCAATAAATGTATATAAATTTATATTCTTACTTAAAAAAAAGTATGAAAAAAGAATATACCCTTACCTGAAAACCCTTTCTATACTCAAATTACAATTTAATGACAACTAAATAACTGTAATCTTGTCTAAAAATTTCTTTTACTAATATCATTTTTTTTAATAATCAATTTCATAAGAAAGAAAAAAAAAGTCATAATCTGCATTTTTTATCAGAAAAATCACAATTATAAAAAAAATCTCATAATATTCAATAATATTTTTTTACAATTATTTTCGAACACAAGAAAAAAATATAATCACGTGTTCTTTTATGATAATTATAATCCAATCAACCTTATTTATTTTGGTTATTGGCATTATACAAAAATTAATATAAATTCATCTATAAAACTACGACAATTATTATTATATTATATTTTATAAAGAATTATGTCAATTGAATATTTTCTTAAATATTTTAACCTCAATTCAGGGGATTCGTTCAAGCTGTGCAGCCATTCTTAAGGAAAAAATGGGATATCTGATTAAAATGGTTATAAAAAAATTGAACTCTATCTATAAATCCATGAAATTTAAATGGTATTATTAAGGAGAATGCCAAAAATTTGACGAATCTTGCGATAAATCCAAATTACAGAGCAGATAATGACTAGTCATTCATAGATGAATATTGTATGGCTATATATAATTTAATTGGTAATGGAACCTGTTCCTATGGCTCTTTCAATTTTAAAGAGAGAAGAAACAAAAAAATTTAACTGCTGGGCCAAAAATTTCTGGCCTGCTTATACATAAAAAATCTGATAGGGCCTGACAAATTTTTGATTTTTTGTAAACCTGGGTTCTAAATATATCTTAATATATTATTTTGCAATCACTGTTATGTTAAAAAAATGGATTTCATGTTATCTTGTATCAATAATTATTTGAAGTTTACAATAGAAGTCTTTATTTCAAGAATTAATATTTTAAGGGGGGGGGGGTATAAAAAATATATTTGAATGGGGGCAAATTTGGAGAGTGGGGGGAGGGGTTACCGATATCACTTTTGGAGGCAGATCAGATCTGATATTCCCGATATTAAATTGATATCGGCCAATTACTGATCCGATATCACATCTAATTTTGTATTAAAGATACCAATGGTTTTAATTTGTAATATACTTTTTATTAGTATAACATCTATAATTTAATTATACCATAACTTATGTCATTTAAATATATTATAATGATCAGTTAAAGTTTATATTCAATTCTATTGCAATTCTAAAAGTATATAAAATATTTTTTTTGTTAAACCACTTTTATATAATAAGTAATAACATTAATCTATATACATAATAATAATAAGTAATAAACAAATATATTATGAAATTTGAATAAATATTTAAAACAATATTTAACATTAATATATCAAAGATTTCTTTTTAGAAATACCAAAATTTCCAAATCAGCCTACGGCAATGGTAACTGTTAATCACCAGCTTGAAGAGATTATTGCACACTTTTATAAACAGAATGTGCAAAAAAATAACAATATGGCAAGATGTTTAATTAATTATCATTATTTAAAAAATATAGATTTCAATTTTATTTATAAAAATAAATGATTTAAGATAACTTTTTTTAAAAAATTTATAACATTTTATTTTTGTTAAAGACACCATTTTATATCGGATCGGATCGGCAAATTTTATAATATTGGCCGGTAACCGATATTTTAAAAAAGGTGAAATATCGGCCCGATCTGATCCTAAAAAAATATCGGTACATCCCTAGGTTAGAGTTAAAAAAAAATCAGGTGTAGGTTTTAATTTTTTTAGAGGGGAGTTAGTGGCTTATGGGAGAGTAGAAATAGAAGCCGGCAAATGAATTTAAAATATATATCCATAACTTTTATAAATGTAAATTTTAGTTTTGAAAAACAAATTTAAAAATTTATTCTTAAGAAAATGGAGAATATTTTCTTTTAAAAACGTACTTTCTAAATGAAATATGAAGATAAGTTTAAGTTAAGAAATATATCTAACTTTTCAAATTAAATATTTTTTTACAATTTTTATCTCATATCTAAGATGCATATTTGTTATACTGCTCAACTCTGTCAAAGATATGTTTAATAACTTTATACAATTATTTTTTAGTTATCTTTAACCCTTTAGGTATTCTCATAAAATTAATATGCCATATTTTTAAGAGTGAATATAAAATTTTAAAAATATAACCTCCACACACACATGAAAAATTAATAATATATTCATGGTGGTTTCATTTTATATGAACAACTCCTTTAGAAGTTATAAAGATTGAAATGTGGTTTTATATTTGCAAAACCATAACTGAAAGGGTTAAATATACAAGCTAAAAAAAATTATTGGTTTATGACATATTATTTTTACCTCAATAAAATCTTCTACAGCTTTGAAGGATGCAACCTTTTTGGCAATTGACAATCCTGCATCATCATTGGTGATACATTCCATTTCTTAAATAGATTAACCAAATAAAAAATATTTTGGAATCAGTTCTATGACATCTTTTTTTTAAATAATAGAGAATGTTTTATAAATTAAAATTTAAGGGTATAACAAAGTCAAATTTTTTTTAAAAAAAAGGTGCTTGCATTTATGTGTTCAAACTTAATTTGATAAATTTTGAAAAATATACCCTTTTTGTCAAAAAAAAAGTTGAATTTTAATAGAAATGCATGTCAATAAAGAGCACATTTTTTAAAAAAAAAAAAATTATATCTAAATAATCTTGTGGCAAATTGTGATGATTTTTAAAAATAAAATATTGTTATTCAAAGGTGTTCATAATTAATATATAATTCATGTTTTAGATGCAAAGAAATTATATAATCATATAAAACAAATCATATTCTATGAATACTTGGTTAATACAATGAGAAGGGTTGGTAGTACCGCTGATATTTGCAACAAGTTTTTAAAATTTTTGAAATGACTTGTATCCAAGTGGTAATGATGTATAGCGTTGAACGTTTTTGATTTTTTATGTTTTTCATTAAAATGTAACTGATATCAATGTTATATCGTCAATAACGATTTTTGTATCATATGGAGTAATATATTGAACTAAATTTTACTAGATAATAATTTATTATTAAATTAATGTTCTACAAAAGTTGTAAGAATTAGAATGAAACATTCTATTCTATTAAATACTTTTCGTTTTCCCTTTATAAATTTTTAAAATATTTAATTAATACTTGTCGGATATGATAAGAATTTGTATTAAAATGAATAATATTCTTCCAGTTTCAGCAAGTCTTTGAAGATATATCTGTGAAAGGTTTATTTATAAATTAATATAAACTAGTAGAAAGCCCGTCAAAAATGACAGGGAATGAGATTTTTATTCCTTTTTTACGATAGATGTCATGCCAGGTTCAAGCTCACAATATTAGGAAGCATCCAAGATCTTTCAATTATGAAAAAGTTTATCAAGCCCAGCTCAACCCTTAATAATTTGTAAAAGATATTCCCAAGTCAGGTGCAAGCTAATATTAATTTTGAGGTTCCAAGCCCAGTCCTACCCATTATAATTTTGAAATTTTTTCCCGCCTCGGAGATAGTTAAATATTTAATAGCATCACATGAACGGGAAATATCTTACCAATTAGTCTATTTGGAAAAAAAAACATGTAAATTCCGTATTAAGGGAAACTGGGAAGGCCTGGGCCCACTTATTAGAGAATCATGACAAATAAAATAAAAATAACCGACTCTTATACTTTTTTTTAATATGATAAATTAAAATTATATCTAAAAAATATGTTGTTTATTATATAGGGTTATGGTTGTTTAATGTATGTCTTGCATTTCTGAAATTATTTGTCAAAGAATTTGATAAGAGATATATAATATATATTTTTTTATGTTAAGTAAAAAAAATGCTGTCTATTTAAATTACAAAAATGCTATTAAACACTAATGAAACTTATATGCAAATTATTTATATATTTTTTAAGATATTTTTTTTTATTGACATATAAATTTAGGATATTTTTTTACAAAATAATGAGGAATATTTATTATGTATTGATAAAATTAAGAGCAAATCCTTGTTGAAATTTTAATTTTTGATGGAAAAAGTTACAAAATAAATCTTCGGTCGTCTGGAGAGGAAATAATTAATGTATAATTTTATATCATTTAGGGTTGTAGATTGAAGTAATGACGGACTACCAAAGCAGTGTACAAAACACAATGTGTCCTGATAAAGATGATATGCCTATGCCTTGAGATGCTGGTAAAAGAAGAAAGCAAAACCATATTTCTGTCAATGTCAGCATTGGTATCCCCCTCTAAAATAGAATCATGAAAGACAATGTTAACTAAACCATAAAACGATCGTAAGTATTGTTATAAAGGCCACGACAGAACTACTGCATATTTTTCCATTAATAAAGTTGATGAAATTGGCTGTACAGTGCATTCAAGTTTGAACACGCAAAACGATATTTCTGTCAATGTCAGCATTTGTATCCCCTTCTAAAATAGAATCATGAACGAGAATGTTAACTCAACCATAAAACGGTTGTAAGTATTGTTATAAAGGCCACGACAGAAATAGAAATACTGCATATTTTTCCATGAATAAAGTTGATGAAATTGGCCGTACTGTACATTCAAGTTTGAACATTCCTCTAAATATTCATGAAAGTTTCTCAGAGATTCGGATAAAGTAATATTTATATTAACTCCTAGTGAAGTGAATGGTACAGAATTAAATGTTTATATTAGTTAAAAAATAGGCGGAGGTGGCATAGGGATTGTGGTAGTGGTGATAGAAATATCATTTGGAGAAATGGGTGAAAATTAAATAAACATAGATATAAAATATAAAATAAAAAAAACAAAATAAACCTCCAGATGAGTTTATTTCAAGCGTAGTTCTTTATTATTTTGTCTACCATAACTCTAGAACGGGTAAGGCGTTTGTTTAGTCCTCATTATTTTGTTTATCTTTAATAATAGATTCATCATGTTTTGTAGCAATGTGAGGAATTAGGGTTAGCCTAGACAAATAAAGAAATCAGGCAAAAATATAAATAAACTATTGTTGAAATTAAACAAACATTAAAATAATGTAAAACCGATAGATGGGTCAACATTAGATGCATATTTCTAGTAGTTGGAGGGCTATCATCAAAAAAAAATTTGGGGGGACTTTCAAGCCTATTATGATATTCTAAAAGTTAAAAAATAACATGATGAATGTAATGTTATTAAGATTAAGTTTAATTAATTGTAAGGTAATTAAAAAATAAGTTTAAAAAAGGAGGGGAAAAAGAAGGTATAAATTATTATATTATAAAAATAATAAAAATTAAATTAAAGGAATTGATAAGGTTTTGAGAAATAGTGGTTAATAGATAATAGAGATAGAAAGAAAAGGATGAGATAATAAAATTTAGTGATAAACAAATTCATTAAGGAAGGGGAAAAAAATAAAGAAAGAGTTATTTATAAAGATTAGAGATTATAAATAAGTTAGGATAAGAATATTTAAATATTTGAATATACTTGATTATCTTCTTAATTATTTGTAAGTACTGATAAAAATTGTGAGTATGTTCAAAATAAATATACAAGTTGAGTATCTTTAGAGATTTCATTAATGTGTAATTGATAATATGAGATGAAAATTGATAAGGTGATCTAAAAAATAAAGAAAGGATTATGTGAAATATTAGCCTGAATCTTTTTATTCACATTTCATTCATATTTAGAAAGTTGAAGGAATATTGTTTATATCAATTCAAAGACGATTTTTCAAATCTCTCAATCCATGTTAGGTATGTGTACACCATCAATTCTAGAAATTCCATTTATCTGTTTTTATAAAATAAATAAATAAAATCAACAAATAAAAAAGATAAAAATAAATACATACCGATGACATGACGTAGCGATGACATGACGTCACGATGACGTAGTGAGGACATCGGAAAATTATAATATAGATAATATAATATATTTATAGGATGTCATTTTCCCTTCAAGTAAGCTTTATTTAGAAAACTATATTGGATTGAGAAATTTAAACTTACATACAAAAGGATCTATTATAATGATTTACAAAAAACGTCAATCAAATTTAGCCAATAGTTTTCTTTTAAAAAAAATTTCTCAAAAAGTAATCTTACAAATCTTAAGGCAATAGTAATTTCTATCATGTGATGCTATATTATATATTTTATTTTTAATGGTGATTTTAAATACTACCCAATATATAGACCTGTGCGCCCCCGGCTCACGCCAGCAATTTTATTCACGCCGGAACAGCCGCCGATTGAGATCAGCGGCGTGAGTCTGCTAGCTGCCGATTTTTCTTATGGCGGCGGCGCGGCGTGTATAATATTTAGGATGTTGTTCAATTATATTTATATATTAAATTATTATTATTTAAATTTGAATATTAACATTAATATAATAAAACATGAATTGTATTCTATTGCTTTATATAATAGAATAGTGTATATCCTTTACATTCATTCATACACCATATTCATTTCGGCTATATTAATTATTTTTATGGATTTGCGCGTTTTAAACCACCCTATATACAATTATGAAATAACAACTCTCTCTACTAATCAAAAATCAAGTTATGTGTGGTAGTACTTTGGAAATCTTATTTTGAAGAATGAGAATAAGAAAAGCACGATAATGCCTGATTATATTTATTTTGAACCTTGTTTAAAATTGTGGAAAAAAAGATGAGGAAGATTCGGATAAAAATAATCCATTTTCACAGTAATTTATTTTAATTTTAGACTTATATATATATATAATTTATATTTTAGTTATGATATCAAATGTTATAGCAAAAATATAAGTACGAGTAACCTTTCTCCTCACTTACTTAATGTGCATAAAATATCAGAAAAAACTAATAATAATAAATCCATTCAAACTCTAAAAATGTTTCTAAAGCCAACGCCAACATGTAGCAAGAATATAAAAGATAAAAAATGGCTCTTAGGTTAATATTAATGTTTATTAATATTCATTTTAAATTTTTAAATGGTTTGTTAAATTAATTTTATTAAGCTCTATTTGTTCAAAACAACTAAATTTTTTAGTTTGTTTTGTCAGCTCTTATTTTGAGAACTTTTTAATGTACAAACTTAATATATAATTTATTAAAATAATTATGTAAAACTTTAAAACAACTAAATTTTTAGTTTGTTTATTGTCAGCTCTATTTTGAGATCCAATGCATAAACTTATGTACAATTTAAATTAATAAAATAATTATGTAAAACTTTAAAACAACTAAATTTTTAGTTTGTTTATTGTCAGCTCTATTTTGAGATCTTTTTAATGTATAAACTTAATATATAATTTATTAAAATAATTATGTAAAACTTTAAAACAACTAAATTTTTAGTTTGTTTATTGTCAGCTCTATTTTGAGATCCTTTTAATGCATAATTTAAATTTATTAAAATAATTATGTAAAACTTTAAAACAACTAAATTTTTAGTTTGTTTATTGTCAGCTCTACTTTGAGATCCTTTTAATGTATAAACTTAATATACCATTTAAATTTATTAAAATAACTATGTAAAACTTTAAAACAACTAAATTTTTAGTTTGTTTATTGTCAGCTCTATTTTGAGAACTTTTTAATGTACAAACTTAATATATAATTTATTAAAATAATTATGTAAATCTTTAAACCAACTAATTTTTTAGTTTGTTAATTGTCAGCTCTATTTTGAGATCATTTTAATGCATAAACTTAATGTTTAATTTAAATTTATTAAAATAATTATGTAAAACTTTAAAACAACTAAATTTTTAGTTTGTTTATGTCAGCTCTATTTTGAGATCTTTTTAATGAATAGACCAATGATATTTGGAATAAACTTAAAATATATTTTATTAAATTATGTAATACTTTATTTTGAAAGTTCAAAACTAAATCAAATTTTTTATTTGTTTCTCTTTTTTAAATATCTTTTTTCTAATAGGGCGAAATTATGTTTTGATGTGCTGCTTAGATTTATTGCCATTTGATTCTATAAGCAATAATGGGATGACAGATTTTCTAAAGGTTTAAAATTTAAATAAAATGATTATTAAAAAATAAATTGCCTAAAAAAATAGAAATATAAGATAATTGATTCCTCGTCAGAATTGCCTAATAGGACAACTATTAGTCGGGGAGCACTTGATGATGTTTATTGTTCTATAAAGGCACATGTTTTAAACCTGATTGATGCTGGTCCAAAATTCTGTTCCATTACTTTTGATTTATGGAACGATCATTTCAAGCGGCGAAATTATATTATATTTAGTCTTCATCATTTAGATGAAAATTTTGATTTAAAATATTTTACCCTGGCAACCCGAAATGTGACTCAAAAGCATACTGGGGAAAACATATTATCGGAGATTGATGGTATCGAAGAGGAGTTTCATTTAAAAGCCAAAATAATACAAATGGTAACTGATGCAGGGGCAAATGTCAAAAGAAGCGTCAGATTGGGGGATTATGAGCATCATTTATGCTTAGGCCATGGACTACATAATTTGGTTACAGTTGATGGCATAAAAAAAGTTGCCAGAATTGATAATCTCCTTAAAAAAATTAGAGAAATTATTTCAGTCCCCAGATATCGAGTAGCTGATTTGGAATGTGAAATTGAAGATGAGCATCGTAAATGTCTCCAGTCAATTTATGAGACAGGTCATATCTTGGATATTGATGATTCTGATCCATACCTTGATGACCATTTTGATAACGAAGCGGGTAATAGAAATGTCATTACACCAACCAATCTATATAATACAAAAACGTTAAAATTAAATTGCCCTACCCGCTGGCACAGCATATTAATTATGCTAGAAAGTGTTCGTAGCGTGAACAAAAATCCTATTAATAATGTTTTGAATAAAATAGGAAAACAATGTTTAAAACTTTTTAATAATGAATGGGATATGATTGACGAGCTTTATGCCGTATTAATTCCATTCCGAGAGTCGATGGAATTTCTTTCCTCACAAAAGGGATCGACTATAAATTTAGGGTTATTATTTCGCAGTGAAATAGAAACCCACATACAGATCAATATATCTGATTCCTCAGATATTATTTGTTTAAAAGAAAATATGCAAAAAAAGCTTGACCATAGGTTTCCCATTACTGAACTTCAAGTTATTTTATATTTTTATTAATAAAATTATATTTTGAACATTAGATATTAGCGACTCTCCTTGATCCCAGATTTCAAAATCTGAAAATTGTGTCAGAATATTTAAATTCAAATTCTACTACATCATTGCAATTTTTAACAAGAAATTTAAACTTTTAGAAAATGATAAAAATGCACAAAGTGAAATCCAAGTTGAAGATAATGGGGAGACTTCCAGTTCTTATATCGCCAAAATAGCTCGTAAACATTCCATTCCAGGCAGTGATTATAACAATATAAGTAATTTAGAACAAGAATGCCATATTTTGTTAAGCCAAAATAATATCCCAGAAGAGGATGCATTAACCTTTTGGAAGAAAAAGCAACTGGAACTTCCTAGGCTTGCTAATTTATCTAGGAAGGTTCTTTGTATACCTGCAACCAGTACACCCAGCGAAAGAATTTTTTCCATTGCTGGATTAATACTCAATGCAAAAAGGACTTCTTTATGTCCCACCAATCTTAATAAAATTCTATTTATTCATGATAATTATAATTTAGCTAAATCTGAATTCTGATTTATTATATTTCTTACTTAATATTTTATTTGCATTCCAAATATATATTTGTTATAATAAAAATTAATAGAATATTACTAATATGTGTTGTTTATGTGACTCTGATTTGAGTGAAAATGCAATTCCTTAGTCTATTTCTGAGAATGAGAAAATACATGAATTTAAATTGAAGTGAGACAGGAAATAATTTAAGAAATAAACTATGTTAACAATGTGTTAGAAAAGAGCGCCAAATTATAAAAAAATGTAATACATTGATTTGTAAATTAAATTTATTAAAAAAAATTTTTTTAATAAATATCGCGCCGCCGCCGACAATTTAGTAGGCGGCGGCGAAATTGGCGCGCCGCCGAACGCCGATAAAAAATTTTAAAAAAACCGCCGCCGTCAATTGAGACATCGGCGCACAGGTCTACCAATATACCTCACCTGAAGACTTTAAAGATATTGGTAATTAATATTACAGATGATTTTATTTTAATAAATATTTCACATTGTTTACAAGGTCAAGATGCTTCAGATTTAGATAAATTATCAATAAATGGAAATCTATCAAATTAAGAATTATAGCTTAGCGTCAGAGGGTTAGGATTTAGATTTTCATAGTATCAATGCTTAAATTATCAAATATATTTTCTTACAATAAAGATCTTACTGAGGAATGGATTCATGTCATGAGAAGATGCAAATTTACTCAAAACTCTGGAGAACAATTTAACAAGGAGTGGTTTGTGCCTTCTATTATTAAAAACCTTTAAGGAAGGATCCAATCTAATAAATATTTAAATTTTATACTATTATATATTTTTAATAATATCATTTTTATGCATAAGTAAATATTTGCAATTATATTATTAGCTGATGGATCATCAAGATTGACAAGGAATTGAGATTTTCCTTAATTTGATGATGAATGAATCAAAAATTCCACTCTTATTGATGGACAAATTAGAAATAAGCCTATATGAGATGTGAATAAATTTCATTATTCTTATTATATATGTAATCTACTTATTACCTTCAATATGAAAAAAAAAAATTAGAAAATGTGAATATACTTTTTTTCTTATTTTTTAAAAAAAAATTGTGTTAAATTAAAATGTTATATGAATTATCACTTTTATGAAATATCATAGTTCTGTAATTTTGCAACTCGGTAAATCGATGGAACTGTTATCATGGAAGCAAATTTTGGTTTTGGACTTATTAAGAATGTGGCAATGATATTTAAAATAGACTTCAAAGAAATTTAAGATTTTATATGAAGTTATAAGGGAGAAGGATGAAAACCATCGTGCCCAGATGTAAAAAATTTGTTAAAAGAATTAATAAATATAACTATTTCTTTATTAGATAAAATTTATATAATTCACTAATCATATTTTTTTTATCCCATATTTTTCATAATATATTTGGCCTTGAATAAATATGTTTAAAATTGGTGCACCTTTTTAAAAATAAATTTTCATAACCAGCAAAAGCTATATAAGTTGAGCAGTAAATAGCTTTAATTTCAGAATTAATTATAGCAACTGAAAGCCAATTTTGTGGTACTTTATCTTCCATAACCTAAAATACACACTCGATGTATTTAATCTAAGGTTCACGGGCAGGGTTGCCATGTCTCCCCCCATCAGCAGGAGACTCTTGCAATTTTTTAGTTTACACGCAGACATCTCTCTCTTGCAAAACTACCGCAATTAAAATCTCCCGCAAAAATCTACCGCAATTTTTTTTTAAAAATATTTTAACATTTTTAATATATAAATAATGATTTTGAGAGACATTAATTGATTATTTTTATATATTTAATAAATTTTAAAAATTTATTCGAAAAACATGTCTAGTTTGTAAATTTCTTTCTATCCTGTTTTATTTTTATCCAATAATAAATCAACATCATTTCATTCATATAAGTCAGTACAGAGGAGTATATCAATATATATTTTTTCCAATAATATTAAGTAAAAATAGAATTTTAAATTATTTGATATTTAATCTCAATTTTTTACTTAATAAAAAATTGATTTATTTACATTAAAAAGAATGTTTCTAAAATTTATTTTTAAAAAAATATTATATATTCAAATTTTGATTGATTATGATTAATTGCTTTTTAGCAATGTATTTTAGTAATGCAGTTTAGCAATTCAGTATTTAGTCATACCAAGACCTGTGCGCCAACGAAATATTGGCGGCCGGCGCAATTTTTAAAAAATCTGATCGACGGCCGGCGGTGCGCCGATTTTTAGCCGCCGTCAATAAGATCGGCGTAAATCGGCGCATATATAAATTTTTATAAGATAAATTTTTTTAATTGCTTATTAATTTTTAAAAAAAACAAATAAATATACACTATTCTACAGATATCTCGGCATATTTTATAATATTCATTTAATAGAAAACTTATTATATCCAGAATCGATTTCGTAATTTAATTATCATGTATAAAAATTATTTTTTTAAAATTTTTGGGACATAATGATGATCTCCTTGAATTTAACATCAATCCAGCGATAGAGAAAACTCTTTCACTAGGTGTGCTAGTCGCCGGAATGCAAAGAATTTTTTTGGCGAGCCTAGAAAGATCGGGAAGTTTACTCTTCTTTTCTCTCCAAAAATTTAGAATGTCCATATCTTGTGAATGTCGTTTTCCAAGAAAACTGTGACATTCTTGTTCTAAGTCACCTAACTTGGAATCATAATTTATATTTGTTGAATGTTTATTTGCCAATTTTGTCAAATGAATTGAATTTAATAATTCATCTTCATCCTCATTAGCTATATTTACTACCTGATTATCATCATTCTCTATAAGTTTAAGATGTTTTATTATAAATTCTGAAGCTGAGCAATTTTGCTCTATTAAATACTTTGACACAATTGTCATTTTTTAAAATCTTGGATCTAAAAGAGAAGCCAATACCTAGATAATTTTAAACAAAAAATTAAAGAATATACTTATATAATATTACTTGCAGATTACAAACCGGAAATCGTAACGCAAGTTTTTCTTAGCACATTTTCCTTAAGTGATAATTTTAGAACTATCACTATCATTTACTATAAAATGTGTTTCAATTTCACTTCTAAAAAGTAACCAAGTTTAAAGTAGGCTCTTTTAGTACTGAAAGAAATTCGACAGTTTTTTTAAATTTTGAAAGAAATGCTAATAGTTCTTCTATCAGATCAGATTCATAATTTTATAGATTTGAGAAAGTGCTTCCCAATTCTTTTCAAAACATTATTAATTAAATTCTTATTTAATCCAGATATGCTTTCTAGCATAATTAATATACTATGCCAACGTGTTGGGATATTTAATTTTAAGGTTTTCATAAGCGTGGAATTATTGTTATTATTATCATTGGAATTGCCAATTTGAAACCGGGTATCAGGTTATGGATCAATGCTGTCAAGATCTAACATGTATGATGTTAAATCTATTGTAGGGGAGACCGGGGTTATATTGTCCATAAAAAATTGAGAGGCTGTGAAAAGGAGGAGAAATAATCTATCAAAATAATTTTGATGTTATTTTATTTTTTATATAATTATCTACGGTAGAAATTAATATCTAATAAAAAAATATTATATATTTTTTTAAATTTAAATTTTAAAAAAATGAAAATTTTTGAGTCATGAAAAAGAGACGGGGGATGTATTATCCTTTTGTGGGGCATGTTTTAGACTATCATTTTCTAAGCATTTTATTCATATAAAAATCATAACAAACATATAATATTAACATACAACACATTTATTACATATAAAAAATGGATTAAAATCACAACATGATCCATGTGCCCATAAATGACAATCCAATCTTCATTATGGTGGTGAGTTTGATAGTTTTTGTGGCACACTAAACAAAATTCTTTTTTGCCAGCATTCATATTTAAACTTTTTTTATTATTGGTTTTATTTTTTTTTCAGATTATTAGCCCTAGATCTGGCTATTTTTTTGTAAGGTAAAGAGGGGAGGGAGAGTCAATAGAACTATACCACTGTCAGAGCACAGCTCAATGACTTCAATAGATTGGTGAGATTTATGATTATCTAATATAAGCAAAACTTTTTTTTCTTGACTGGGCTTAGTGTATTTTATAAAATGATTTTAAAAATATATAAAATCTTCAGCCAGCATCCACCCAGAACCATTAGACACGCCAATGCATCCTACAGGGCCATCTCTTAAATAATGATCATAAAATTTTTTTCTGGGATATATAAACATAAGTGGAATAGAATTTCCTAGAGCATTGACAGCAATTGCCAAGGTCATAAGTGTACCACATTCTGATGTAGTAATTGCCACAACCTGTTTTTCGCCTTTCCTTGCAATAACTTTATTAGGCCGTTGAACTGTTGTTAATCCTATGAAAATATTAAAGATTTGCTATCATATATATTTTAATTAACCAGTTTCATCCATATTATATATATCACATGGTAGAAAGTTATTTTCCCTTGTGACAGTCAAATAATTATTAAAAAATAAATCAACCATTTTCATATTAAAATTGGTAGCCCTGGCTATACTTGTAGCCTCTGGTGTTCTCAAAGAAATAGTTGGATTTCTTTTAATAAATGCTCCAACCCAGTCTTCACCAGCTGATTGAGTTATTTCCCAAGATTTTGGTACTTGTAAACTATACCTCTTGGCCATTTGATAAGCTAAAACTCTAACCTAAATTTAAACATAAGACATTAAATTATTTATATATTAAGGCAATCTAATTAAAATCCTAATTCTTAAATTTTATTCTGAATTTATTTAATAATTAATATAATAAAATATATCATACATAATTAAACCTCTAATGTATAGGTAAGAACCAAAATATGTTTTAATACATGATATAATTTAATGCTAAATCAATGAATAAATCATTTTAAAATTAACATACATGGCAGCATCATTTTATTTTAAATATATATCATACACACATAATTAAATCTTTAATATATAGGTAAGATATGATTTAATGCATGATATAATATATATAATGCTACATTGAATAAATCATTTTAAAATTAATATTAATACATGGCAGCATCATTTTAAAATTAATATATATACATGGCAGCATCATTTTATACATAAATGGCAGCATCATTTTATTTACATATATATCATACATACTTAAATAAATATCATTCTAATGTATAAGTTAAATTCTTACTTTAAAGTATAAAATTAATAAAGATGTTTCATTAACATATAATGTAAATAATTTTAAAAAATTTTCTCAAGTTTATTATTATTTAACTAAAGAAATACCATGGCATAAATTTAAAGATTATAAAAAAAATCATTTTACAGAGATATATGATATAACAAAGGATTAAAATACTTGATTAGGGCATAATCCTGAAAATAATCTTGATTCTTTAATTAAATAATCTGTTAATTTAGCTTCTTGAATAGGAGAAAATACTGATCTGTGAAGATATCGCTCTTGAAAATCTTCATTTCTTTTGAACAATTTATTATACCTCTTAATGCTTAGTTTCTTAAATATATACTAATTTAAATATATAAATATACCTCCCATAACTTAAATTCGTTTTCATGGTTATAACTGTCAAAGGTATCTTATATTTCAGCATTTGAAGAATACTTGCCTTTAGATTATCATTATTTTCTTTGTTAGTTTTTCTAATATATGTTCGAACCATTTTACAAAATCAGAACCAATATTTTAATGAATGTATGTAAAAGGAAAAGACGCACCCCGCTAATACCTTCCCCAGGTCCACAGGATCATTTAAAAATTAAATTTAGAATATTAAATTAACATAATGATTGTCAATATTTTTATATATGATAAAATGGAGATTTTTTTATCATTTAGAATTTATATTAAGTCTGAACAACTTTTATAAAAAAAGTTATTCGTGAAAATGTAAAATTTAAAAAAGTTACTTTGGGTATGTTGAAACTTAAATTTGCATTTAAAATTTTTCATGAGCAATTTTGTCCGAAACAATTTTGGACCTACTTAAGCACCTTATTATAATACATATTTGGCTTAAATTTCAAATCTTAAACTTTATTAATTTTTAAATTATTTGAGAAGGAAATACCTACCCCGGGAACACACTATCCCCGGTCTCCCCTACTTAGGCATTTCCTTTGATATTCCTCGAATTTAAATTCAACCTCTGCAGTTTTATATCTTAGAGCAGTAATAATTTCTCTAATTCTTTTGCAAAAAATTTCCAGACTATTGATTTTTTATTATCCAAAGTAAGGATACTATAATTATTTAAATTATTAAAGTAGATGCATCCATTTTAAAAATATGCAAAATTATGGTAATTTTTGGAATTTTAGATTTTTGATTGATTGTTCCATAATGACGTAAATATAATTAAGATTTAAAAATAGTAGAAAATAAAAATTCATCAAAATCCTGATTGACATTAAAAAATTACAAGAGTGATGTTGACCAATTATTAGAATAAAAAGGTAGAAAAATTTTCTTAAAGGCGGCGTTTTCGGCGTAATCATAAAAGGTCGGCAGCCAGCCAACGGCCGGCCGGCGCACAGGTCTAGTCATCCCCATGATTGAAGAGATTATTTTATATACCAATTAAAATTATATGTAACTGACCAATATTAAAGTTCTACTAAAGAAGTTGATGTAACACAATTCAAGACATTATAAATCTTTATCTAGCTGGAATTTTTAAATCTAACCATCAAAATAAAATATAAATTTTTTATATTTCAAATATGTAAAATAAATTTATGTTTAGAACACATTAATGTTTTATTTAATAAATGTCTTGCATGTCAAATTTAACATATTTCAATGTTCTATATTTTTTTTATTTTTGAATTTATTAGTGTAATTTTTTTTATATTGAAGAATAAAGATCCATATTATGAATTATCCTGATTATATGCTAGATAACTTAATTTTTTAATTTAATATTTAAAATTTAAAAAAAGTAAATTTTTTTAGAAAATTTTGGCATAAATTATAAAATTCCTCATCATCTTTAATTTTAGCTTAAGAAATGAAAATAAATATTTTATCAAGTTTAAAGTTAGTTCTATCTTATATCCAAATATTAAATAAAAATAATGAATATAACTGGAGATATATACATTAGAAATCGAGGTCTATTAAACCCCACCCGAACTAACGTCATTTTTTCACCGGATATTGAAGTGTTTATTAAAAAAATTTGACCTCATAGGTGAGATCTTTTTCCTTGAATTTGCTGCTTCTGGGCATGAAAAGCCATATATTCGATTTGAATTCATAGATGTAGATTTGTAATGTATATAAATATGAAGGTATTTGTAATGATAAAGATGAAGGTATTTGTAATTTGGATAAAGATGAAGTTTCCGGATAGAATAGGAATGCTATTATCATTTGAATGAAATGATATTGGAATATTTGGTGAAATCGTATTATTATGTAAAGGTAAAGAAGAATCTGGAGTCTCTGAATAAATTGGTGATTTAATTGTAGTGGTAAGCGGAAAATAATTCCCCGGAAAAAAAATCCCTGAAAAAAATTCCCGGAAAAAAAATCCCCGGAAATTAATTCCCTGGAAAAAAAATCCACGGAAAATAAATTCCCGGAAATTAATTCCCCGGAAAAAAATCCCCAGGAAAAAAATCCCCAGGAAAAAAATCCCCAGGAAAATAATTCCCCGGAAAAAAAATACCCGGAAAATAATTCCCCGGAAAAAAATTCCCCAGAAAATAATTCCCAGGTAAATAATTCTCCGGAAAAAAAATCCCCGGAATAAAATTCCCCTGGAAAATAATTCCTCGGAAAAAATTTCCCCACTATACATTGAATTGCTAATGCATTGCTAAACTGCATTGCTAAAAAGCAATCAATCATAATTAATTATAAATCAATCAAAAATTTATTACGCATATTTTTTTAATGATAATTTTTTAAACTTTTTTTAAAATATATTTAAATCATTTTTTTATTATAAATGAAGAATACTGATTAAATGATATAGTATATAATTTTATTTTTATTTAATATTATTAATAAGAAATTTATTTTTCTAGCTTATTATAACAAATATACATTTTATTCAATTTTAAAAATTAACAAATATATATCCGTAAGAGGGCGTTATATGTTTTAATATGTATCATTTTAGGAAACCGGAATGATGATTGGATAGCACTTTTTTTATATTTGGGTATATATATACATATGAAAAACCTAAAAATTAAAAATTTTTTTTAGGTTTCTTTGATGTTTAATGAGTAGGTTTAGAATAGTAAAACAATGGAAATTTTTTAAAGTAAATATTGCTGGCGTTATTTATCAAAATCTCTTCATTTTTGTTTTATACGTGTATATTTACGTGCTAAGCATTATTCTAAAAAATATTTTGAAAATAATTTGATTTGACCGATTGCCGAGTTCAAAACCGACCACTTATTAAGATAAATTGAAAAATGTTGATTTTTGTTTTATGTATCTATAAATACGTATAAAACATAATTCCAAAAAATATTTTAAAAATATCGTGATTTGACCCGAAAACCGACCGAATGACCAAATACTGCATTGCTGGCGTTATCCATGGAAAAATCTTCATTTTTGTATTATACGCGTATATATATACGTGCTAAGCATTATCCTAAAAAATATTTTAAAAATATCGTGATTTGACCCGAAAACCGACCGAATGACCAAATACTGCATTGCTGGCGTTATCCATGGAAAAATCTTCATTTTTGTATTATACGCGTATATATATACGTGCTAAGCATTATCCTAAAAAATATTTTGAAAATAATTTGATTTGACTGATTGCCGAGCTCAAAACCCCACTTACTAAATATTCGATTGATAAAATTTACTAGTAATATGATTCGAAAAATGTTCATTTTTTGTTTTATATATCTATAATTACGAGTAAAACATATACGAGTCGGTTATCCGCCAAACCACGATATTTTTAAAATATTTTTTGGGATTATGTTTTATATGTATTTATAAATATATAAAACAAAAATGAACAATTTTCAAATTATATTACTAGTAAATTTGAATCTAGGAAAATAATTCCCCGGAAAAAAAATCCCGTGACCCGGATCTGCTCTGCAGTATTTAATTAAATAGAAATGTTTTTTAAAGTCAAATTTCTTCGAGGATTTGAGATTTTAAATAATAAAACGAAAGTTAAATAAATCTAGTTCACCTTTACACACTTTCATCAACTTTTAGGTATTTATTGAAAAATTATTTTTACACAAATTTTAATCATTTTTTTAGAAATATGATAAAAGGCTTTTCACAGTTTACTGACTCTTAAATAGCGCCCCTTTTTGTTTTTACAAGGATAAGCTATTAAATAATATAATTTTATAAATTTTGTGGCTAAATAGGAAATTAGCAATTCAATCTGATACCCTCTATTTGATAAAAATTATTTTACTGAAGTATTTACCTACTTTAAGAATTTAACTGACTGAATACAGAATCACTATAAAACTTGCAAAATTATATTTTTTACTGCCCAATTTTAATTAAATACTGCCAAAAGTAATGAAAAATGCTGACCACTTTAATCAAAATACATCCAGAGGTGATTATCAGCAGTGAGTATTATATTTTTCTAATCTAACAATTATTATTTTGCTTATGAATTTTTTTCAAAAGTTACAGAAAAGAAATAATTACAATTTTATTAAATGATATATAGAATAATAAATTATATTATTCAATAGAAACAATTCTAGAACTTATATGTTCTCCAATTGAAGAGAGAAAATTGGGCAAGTACCTTCTCTCTTCTAAATAATCAATGCATAAATTTTTTAAAATAGTTTGTTTCGTTGCATAAATACGATTTTTTTGGGGAGTGTATGTCCCAATATTCCATTGGCCGATTTTTCCCATATCAACCGCTATTTCCATCCTTATTTTTTCGAGTAGTTCCCATATCTTCGGTTTTTTGTTGCCTACAATATGCTTAAATCGGTTATTCCATCCTTCACATACATTGTTTGTTCGATTTTCCACAGCAATCGTAACATTGAACACATTCCATGTTTCTGGTGGGAACAATGGCTCTACTTGCCTTTGAGAGTTTTTCCCATGTCTCAATTCTCCATTCACATAATTTTTATCAAAATAAAACAATAATTCTTTGTTTTCATCCGATACAATGGTTTTTAAATACTCCATACCTCGTTTGACATCGTGTATAGGTAAGAATGCTAATCCATCGATCATAGCTGCAAATAAGCATAACATTGGATCATTCCGATATGATGATTCTAACCCCAATTCCTGAATCTTTCTATGAGTTGATTGAGTTAGATGATAAAAACATCCTTGGATGTTGATATCTCTACCTAAAAGTTGAAAAAATATAGATTAAAATTATTGTATAGGTTTTATTTAATATTTATGTCTTTATCAATTCTTATTAATTGTACTGTGTGACAAGAAAAATGGGAGAAAAAATAAATAAAAACAAGTTTTGGTGTAGAATTTGACATTGACTACGAATTCGTTTTCTAAGTTTTCCCTTCACGTCAAGTTTTAAAAATATTATCGTATAAAGGCAACTTTTCGAAATCTCAAAAATGGTAATACGGATATATTTTAAAAAGTATCAAATGAAAATCCCTGAAAATTGGTGATAGTGTTAGATTTATATTTCCTTATAAATTTATTAATTTTTATAATTTTTTATCGATTGCTTTTTGAGAAAAATGGTAAAGAATTTCGTTTTGGGGGGTCTTAAGTTTTCAATTTAAATTCCCGGCAAGAATCGTATAAATATGTTGGCGGACTACTGCTGGAGTATCTTTTTTGAAAATAAATCATCAACTTCATATTCGCGGAAATATATTTAGATTTACCATTAAATGTTTTTAAATTCGATAAATTTTATGTTATTGTTTAATT